CCACTTAATTTCTGGTTCACAAGAGGATAGTTTCTTCTTGGCTGCTGATCCATTATATTTACACTGATTGCAACAGATTTTCACTCATTAGTTCATCTCAAAGGGGATTTTTGATGTCAAATTTTAAGTTTGAAAATACTATCAAGTGTATCAACCTTATATCAGCAAGTATCTGAGGATTAGCAACTAAGACTTCAAAACTTGCCTCTTATTCTCTAGTTTTCCCTCTACAATGGTATCCAGGGCTAGTTTCTTGTTAAGATTCTTCTTTTGAAAGACATAGAGATAGGTAGCTGTTGAAATTCCATTGACTTATAAGGCCTTTGGACAGTCGCTACAAATTGAATCATGGTCATAAATACTGAGGTCCCTTTTCTTTTTATTCTCATTATTGAGGAATTGCATTTGTAGTCCCATCTGTGAACCAGATTAATTCGAAACCATCTGCCATGAGCAAATTGCTAATTTGGGCAGATACCAGAGAGATGCTAGTATCTTCCTTATGTAAACATTTGATGTCAGCTCTGATTGTTGTGAAGAAAACAGTTACCAATAAAGGTGCTTATGGCCACACCATGCACATGGAGTCATTCAGACAGCTGATTACTGCCTTCTTAAAGAACAGAAGTGGCTCAGCAGTCAGCACAGATTGTGCCCATTGCACTGCAAATACCCACTGTAACAAGGCAAGAAACAATGCGAGATCTGTGCAAGCTGAGCGAGCTGCCCTGTGAGCCGTGATGCATGTTTAACAGGGAGCCAGGGCCATGTTGCAGAATTCACACAAGAAGCTATTGAAAATTCCTGAATGTTCCTAAGACTTCATCTGAAGTAAAAAGGAAACTGTACCAATTTCAGCGGGATTCAAAAATTGCAGAAATAAAACTATTATTAATGATAAATTGAATATGATTTAAATGCATGGGAAAATGTGAATTTTCAGCCTTATATTTCCTCTTCCTCCTTAGAGCTGTTTAGGCGCAGACCGCAGCCTGGCTGAAACCACAATCCAGTGTACTGATATTTGAATGGCCAAAAAAATTTCTAATATGACTTCCAGCACAAAAACAACACAACAAACTTGAAAATCAAACAGATGGGGAGACGGAAGATTTTATTGGGAAGGAGAATTTTTTTCATGAGGCTTCATGTACATATATATTCCCTCACTCCTACAGCAGTATTCATTTCAAAAATGAAAGAAGTCACTTCATATTCCCTATTAACTCTAAATCCAGTGGCATATGTGAGCATGACTGCATGGTCTTCCTGTGACAGCAAGAATAGATACTTGAACCATAACAGCTCTTATCTACCAGAGGTGACAGCATCTTTCCCAACATCAGTAATTTCATTAGCCACAGAGCTGTTCTGACTGTAACTAGTGAAGTTTTCTCCCCAGCTTTTTCAAGAGACTCTAAAAACAACACAAAAACATGCACTAAGATGTCAGGACCAGGCAGAACAGATTTGAGGAGAAAAGTTCTAAAAGAAAATATATCTACCTGAACACATCACTGTTCAGCACGCTCATTTATCTTGTGCTTTGTAGAGCTGTTTAGAGAAGGGCTGATTTGTGCTCCTGCCTCTCACACACTCTACATGTAAACAAAGTCACTTCTTCCCCTCCCAAGACACCCCTTACGCAAACGGCTGCAGTGCAGGAGATTTCTGTTGTTATAGTTACTGGCTATGACTTACCCCTGCCATTGTCACAGTATTTTCAGTGAATGGTGCTTAAACAGCAGCATAGCAAAGGTTTGCGAAATGACGACTGCTTGCAGTCCTTCAAAAACAGGATGTGAACATCTCTGTTGCATGGCCTTCTCAGCTATTTCTAACTGTCTCTTACATCATGAACAAGACCCAGAGTCTCCTACACAAGGAACACAACAAAGGTCACTTCAGATATAAGAAGATTTTCTGACTTCTGTTCCCTGGGAAGGTCATCACACAAGAGAAAGCAGAGCTCTTCCCCTCAGGCAGATGGAGAGCCAGGTCTGCAGTGTCCAGGACACATCACCTTTTGCAGGCTCTGTAGTTGGTGAGCCAAGCTTTGAGGTTAAGTCTGAATGGGAACACAGTGTTTTCTACCCCTTGTGCTGTGTTTGGGTGCATCTTTTGTTATCTAGCTATCTAGATCTTTTGCTATTTGTAGCCCCACAAGAGGCTGGCATAATGCAACTCGTGACATTTTCAGTTGGGGTTGCAATACAAGGATAAGGTTGTGGGAATGAGCAAAATAAATGCCTGTAAAATGGATTGTGCTGCTCAGCTGCCTTGGAGATGCAAAGAATAATTAACTGAGCTGACATGAACAAGCATAAAAAAGAGCAGCTCCTCATGCCTGACAGTTCAAGAAACAAGATTTTGGTATGGAGGCAAAAAACAACCTCTCAGAAGTAGAAAATAAGAAAATGGGAGCTAGTAGGTTTTGGCAAGCCCCAGGATCTGTTAGATGAAGGAGGAGGTGCATTTTGCATTTAGGAGCACAGTCAGAAGATGCTTTCTTTTCACTTCTGCCTGGTGTACAACAGAGACAAAGAGCCAGCCCCAACTGGACACAGGCTGCTACGCCTCAGCCAAGGAGCTGCCTTCACAGGTTTGTTCAGGAAAACTGAACCTTACGTAGGTTTCATGAACAGATTAACTTACACCTTATATACAAGCATGTTTGCTCAGAGAAGAAAGTTATCAAAGTACCAAGTACCAATATTAATTATTTTACTATCTTACAAATTCCTCATCCAAGCAGAAACTATTCCAAGATATATGAATTTTGGTAATTACTCAACCAAAAAAAGCAGGTTTCTGTATGTTTTTTAAAGATATGAGTAATTGATTAGGAAATGTTGTGCTAATCTGATTTAACAGGTGCTTTCTGTGAAAGTAATTAGATTTGGGATTCCCAAAGGACTTTCTGAGAAAGGGTCCAACAAAGATAATTACTGAATGTGTGCTGATACTAGTCTCAAATTAGCCTTAAGAAGTCACATTCTAAAAGCTCTCATATATTAGTTTTGTGATTTGACAAGCTCACCTGTGCATCCCACCTTTGCTTAACTAAGTACTTCTTTACAATTGCTGTAGTATTGACTGTACATGAAATAAATTTTAATTACCATCATTGCATGGACTATCAGTGAAACTGGAGAAGTGAAAGGCCAGTCCTGCAGCCTTCTGCTGACAGCATTTCCTGCAGTCCACAGAAGACCACAAACCATAAGCTGGAGAAGTAAATTCTGATTTCCACACAGGATCATGCATCAAGCCAGCACCAGCTGAAAATTGTACCAATGAAATCTGGTCTTGCAACTAACCTTGTAAATAAAGCTGAAACTGGCTCTGCATCTCTTCTCCCACACATATTCCCCTTCAAGCTGTAAACTTTGCAGCAGATATAAAACTAGCTAGAGAACGAAAGCTTCACACTGGTAAAAATAGAAAAGAAAAAGACACAGGCCTACTATGAAACGCATCACTGACAGAGAGATGCTGGAGATGAGACGCAATAAAGCCATCTTATTTCATGGGCGTCTGTTCCCATCAAGTTATGCCACCAAGGCTTTGAATTTGATTGGACAGAAGTTGTGGTGTTCAAGAAATCTTACAGAAAGCCACAAGAATCCCATCTCTTGCTTTTCATGATATTTTAAGAGAAACTTGTCATTAGTCTGCAACAATTATTCACAGTGCCTCATGCTACCTCGGAAAACATTTAGTGACATGATCTATCCTTCTATTTTATTTCCTGCTACACTGGGGCATAGGATGATCAAACTTTCTAGAAGATTGATTAAAAAAAAAAGGCTCATTCTTCATCTGTGGCTCATGTCTTGCTACTTACATTTTGACACTTTAAAGCCTATAGACTAATGTTTCAATGTTTAGGTCTAGTAGAAGAGATTCTCCATCTCTTTAGGACTTACATCGCATTGCTATAGCACGCTGAAAGTTGATGTTTCCAACTACTAAGCTGAGTACTCTTCAGTGCTGTCAGGGTTAACCTTCAGTGTTTCCTTTTTTGCTTTGGCTACGTAAAACTGCTATTTAAAAACTATGTACCAAGGCCCACCCATTGAAGAAATTCTTACGGCTAAGTGACAGTAATCTTTTTCTTCCTTCACACACAAAGGGCTGCATCCAAGTAGATCTCAAAAGAGGATTTGAGAAATCAGGACCATCAGTTCTGAAAGTTCCTTTCAAAGCACTGAGCTCGTAAAAATTGACAGTGGTCAGTAATGCATATAAACTATCACAGTTATTGGCAGTGTTAAGCACAGATGAAAAAAGCTAGGGACAATGTGGTACATGACACTTAAAATGGTAAGATTTGTACTTTGTGTTTTTTCACAAAGATTCCTATATGCCTTAGTGGTGGCTTTGTAACTAACAATCTTTCCTACAAGATATAGCTGTTCATTGTTCAGATATACAGCACCTCAGCTCATGCTGCAATGTTATGTACTGCCTCTGCATTACTGAACTAGATTCCCCAGAGATGGAGACCAAGATACATGTCCGTACTACAGCTAAGTACTGAAAGCTAGCAGACTGCTTCCTTGGTTACTATTATTTATAAGCTTATATGTTTTCAGGATTTACTTACAAAAAGCAATTCCACTTATTAATACCAGTGCGAGAGCATGGCAGTACTTCATATTTATAGATTGTAATATAATTTCAGACAGCTCCAAGTTCCTTTACAAAGTGTGTGTCTATAAATCAGCCTAGAAATCCCTATGTCCACAAACACTGTAAGAGTAAGAAGAACACTGAGTGAAACTGAAAATGTCGAGTTAAGTCAGGCTGAGCACGTTTGCTCAGACAAGAAAGTTATCAAAGTACCTCATTCGCTCTGGGCATTTAAAGCAATGAATGCACATTAAGGAGTTCGTTTTATGACTCTTGAACAGCACCTTCACTGTGGAGAATCTCTTTCCTAACACAAGATTTTATTAAAGTAACAGCTTAAGTCTGAACTGAAACACCTGACCAACCTGTTTTTCACCACTTGGCTTCCTGTAATTCAGCAGCAGCTCCACAGCTCCCACCACCTCTTTCCGTATTGCATACAGCAGAGCATCTCCCACATACACGCAGTGGCTCAGAAGTAACTCCATGATCTCCAGATTTTCATTCTCTATGGCTATTAGAAGGGCACTGCGACCAAGAGGATCCATACAGTTAATGTTGATGTTGTAGTAGATCTCCGCCTCTTGTAAGGCATGTTTCACACTGGCATAGTCCCCCTTCTCCACAGCACTGAGGTAGGCCTTCTCTTCCACTGAGAGCTCTGCCTCTGCTCGCACAATCTGCAGTGGGATCCGATCTCTGTACGGTGAATAGTTTACCTTTTTGTAGTATAGCTGGGCCATTGTTCATAGTGACCAGACAACCTGTGGGGGAAAAATAAGGACACATAAGTGATAAAAACAGACAAGCAACCCTTGTCTTCTCATTATGGGGGACAAATTTACAAAGGTCTGTTGCAGTAAAAGCTTCTGATCACTTTTTAAGGTGTTTCATTTTCAACAAAATGACTGCAATGCTCCCTGACCAATCCCACATTAAGGGGCTACCTGAAAAAATTAAGGTTCCACTACAGCTCAAAAGAGAATGACAGACACCTGGTAGTTTAAATAAGGCATGGAACATTATTTCATTGGTTTCTTTTCATTCTGAAAAGGAGTGATCTTGTTTATGGATTATCTATCACCTTAATTTGGTAGATTTCTCATCTTTGTTCTTTTTTTCATTGCTTACTGTTCTTCTCTCCTACTTTTCATTGAGCCAGGTTCTCAAAATTGAAACCACCAGTGATAAGAGCTGCTGACTTACATCTCTTATTTACAGCAACAAGATTTCTTCTGATTGTTTTCACTTCTTCTCTTTTTCAATCTCTTGAAATAGTTTTCATTTTTCCATAATGTTTACTTTTCGACTAGGTCACAGAGTTTTTTTTTTTAACTATGCATGTTTTTTTTAACATAATTTCTCACTCTACATTTATAAATACAATCTAGATAGGTTGATGGAGAAAGTCCCCACCTTGTATTCCAGGAGCAGTGATGTTGCTTGTAGTCTAGAAAAGTAAGAAGTAGTAAATCCTGCCCTGGAAAGAGTGCAGCAAGGTGAAGGAATGATTGCTCCATGGCTCAGAAAGCCTAGAAGTCACAGGGAAGGCATTCACTCTCTCTCACACACACACACCAAAAAAAACCAAAAATCGATGGTAATCTACCTCTGTTTGGCATCAACAAACCACACCAAATCAGGACCAGGGGTTTAGGCAGCTGTAACTAATTCAACTAATTGGATGATCCTTTCCATTTCCTTTCCCCTGTTTCTGTAGAAAATTAGCCTGATTTTTATTCCATTTTATTTCTCCTTCCAGGGGAAAGAGGTAATGAAAAGCACGATCTTGTGGTTCAGAAGTTGAACAAGGAATGAGATGCTGGGGGTTCTACTTTCACCATCTCTCTGCTTGCCAGAAGGCAACCATGTTCAGCACAGCCTATTTGCATTTTGCCTTCAGCTCCAGAGTTATGGGCCTGGTGCAGAGGAAGTGGGTGGATCTGAGCTCCAGCCCAGCTGACACTGCAGCACAGTGGGTGGCTGCAGCACACAGCACAGTTACATCTGTGAGTTTCCTGGTGAGCCACAGATTTGTAACAAGTTTGGCATACCAAAAAAATGTGCTCTTCTAGTGTCGTGGTTCCTTACAAGCGTGAGGAAACTTTTTGTTTGTTGCATTTCAGGAATATTTCAGTTCTATGCAGATGTGCTTCAATTTGATGGCACACTTAAGATCTACATACAAACTACTGAAAATGATGATTATAGATAGATATATATAGATAGATGATTAGCTAAGCTCTGCCCCTTCCCTTCCCTTCTTGGTGAAAAATACCCAGGATAGCATTTGCTTTGCTAGCACGGCTATCAAACACCAGCACGCTCACAGCTACGGCACTGATCAATGGCAACACCAAATCCATTCCATCGGTTGCTTCAACCAATCGTTTATTTGTCACCGCTTGTGAAAATGTCCCACAGAAAGTCCTTGGCTGGACTCGGGCAGGCAAATGCCAACACTAGCAATGTCACAACAAGCACACAGCAAAGCTCCCCCTATGCACGCCCTTGGCAACGGCATCGCAGAGTCACAGTCAGCCCATGAGCTCACAATGGGCCGGGTGCCTATAAATACCCAGCAGGCCCAGCCCGCCTTGAGTCTTGCTGGCGACTCTCGAGGTGTGAGCGTCTTCCTGAGAGAGCACGAGACACTGAGACTTGGCCAGTGCGTGAGAGAGTGGAGGCGCAGAGGCTGCCGACTGCTCCGCAAGAGGCAGCCTCCAGCAAATCCATCCTTGGGGCTCCGAATCCATCCTTGGAGCCCCACAGCGCCAGGGCAGCCGCAGCCATGAGCCAGGAGGCGGCTCCCAACCGCAGGCACAAGGCGTGGGTCTGGCCGGTGGAGGCCCACGAGGACCGGTGCCCCATTTGCCTGGACCAGGTCACCGACACCATCCGCGCTCTGCCCTGCAGGCACATCTTCTGCAGGGAGTGCATTGAGGAATGGACGGCCAACAGCCCTCGCTGCCCCCTGTGCCGGCAGAGAATATTCGCCAAGCAGCGGCTGGACTGGCGCCCCTCGGCTCGGCCCCCGACCTGCTCGCCCCAGGGGAAGCTGCAGCGCGCCAGGGAGCGGCGGGAGGCAAGACGTGCCCGGCACTCCCGCAGCGTCCCACCACGCAGCCCGCCACGCAGCTGCTCCAGGTCCCCCCGCCGGCTGGTGCGCAGCTCCTCGTGGCACGGGGAGCTCCACCAATGCAGCTGCTTTGAAGAACTGCCGCGGCAGGACGAGGACCGCGAGTGGCTGAGGCGGGTGGCACGGGAGCAGCAGATGGGCGCCGGAGAGCCCGCGCGGCACCCCGACGGGCCCCCCTTGTGAGCAGGCGACCCAACCTCAGCCGGGAACGGCACAGGGATGGACCATCACTTCTGACATCACTTCCCTGCCATACTGGAGCAGACCACCAGCAGCTCCAGCTCATCCTTCCGTACCCTGCTGATCGGCCTCGGTCAGCCCACAGTGCCCAGGTTGGGGCTGCTGCTACCAGTCACCCAGGCACTGCACGGAGCCCAGCAAACGGCGGCCGAGTGGTGGAAGAACACAACATCTCCGCTACAAGGACGGCACTGGGATGGCCCTCCTGGAGGCCACAGAGAGGGCGCGGGGGGATCTGGGCATAAACATTCCAATAAACATCCACACACCCTCAAATGAGCAGTTGTTGCATCTAGTTCTTTCGGGAAGCTAAACCATAAGCCTGGAATCCCAGTGCAAAACAGGGATGGGGAATGAGGAAGGGGTCGGCTGGAGAAACCAGCCATTGACTTCCAGAACCCTGAGAGCCCGAGCTCTGTGACTGCATGGCAGCACGCACCAGGGGGGCAGAGGGCTTAAATGGCACCATGGAGTGCCATACTGAAGTCAGAGCAGGTGAGGTGTGCCCGCAGCACACAGACAGCAGCCCCTTGCAAGCAAGACAGTTGTGTCAGTCAGGAGAGTGCTGACATGGCTCGTGTTCCTCCCAGAAAACAGCCTTAGGTGCTACTGTAAGCCACAACCTGGATGTACACGATAGGCATTGAATCCAACACAGCGAGCACAAGGCCTGGCACCTGGTTTCCTTGGACAACCAAGAAAAATCTTGGACATGATGTTACTGCAACCTCTTTTGAATCATCCATGTGTAGCAGCATTTCCAAACACCTCCCCTCAATTTCTGCCTCCATAAAGTAAGAAAAGTTGCCTTCCCTTACGTAAATCTGATCTCTGCTGTTGCTACAACACTTGCAAGATGCATAACGTGAGGGCCACCCTACACACACTTTAGACTAAGCAAACCTCCCTGGGTTTTATTCCAACAAGAAACACTACAGCTCGACCAACCTCTCACGCTACATTCAGTGACACTAATTCCCATCATGGCTGTAAGCAGCTGAACCTTGGCATTCCAGCCCGCCAGCACACAGCCCAGCCCATCCTGCAGCCATCCCCTGCCATCATGGCGCAGACTCTGCCCCACCAAGCAGCTCATTACTGCTTGTGAGGCTCACCTGCCCGTGCAGCCATTCAGTCTGTACCCAGCTATGCTTACAAGCAAATCTCATGCCTCTTGCATCTGGATTCCAAGTCTTCCAGCACTTAAAGGGAGCTTAACAGGAGAGAGAGCAACTGCTCACACTGTCAGACAGAGACAGGACCGGGGGGAACAGTTTTCAGCAAAACAGAGGGAGATTTAGGTTCCACGCAAAGAGAAATCTCTTTACTCAGAGGGCGCTGAGGCCCTGGCGCTGCTGCCCAGAGGAGTGGGAGGGCCCCATCCCCAGAGGCATTCAAGGCCACGTTGGATGGAGCCTGTGATGCCTGAGCTGCCGCGTGGAAACCCTGGCCATGGCAAAGGGCTGGAACTGAGCGGGCTTGAAGGTCCTTCCCAACCGAAGCCATCACATGAGTCTAAGCATACGGAGAGATGCAGCGGTGCTTAGAATCACTCCCAGGGAAGTCTGCCGGGGAGGGAAATCTGAAAGTTTCAGACTATTAATGTGCAGTGATTCACTGCAGAGATCAGGCTACAGGAGTGAAATGCGAGTCTGTGACGTGAGGCAGGGACCTGAGGTATGGAAATGAAGCTAAGAGACAGGGCTGCAAGCTGAATGACCACATTCAGATGGCAGCATGAGATGCTTATGTGCTAGCAGGGCCATCAGTAAGTGTAGCCTTTGGGATACAGTTGTAACTGCGCCACGAAACAACTTCACCTGGAAAATGACTTGGGGCAATCTGCAAACAATGCCAAGCTGAGATACCTGTGCCCCTTGGCACCTCTGCAGATCTGCTGCTCTGCCCAAATTTGGAAGAACTGCAGCCACCCTGCAGGCTCTTTGCAGGGGCCAAAAGTGGGTCCAGTCCCACAGAAGAGCCTCCAGGACGATCTGGAGTGACGGAACGCAGCGTACCCGCACAGGGCCGCGCAGGATCCCAAACTGGGAGGAGCGGCTGATGCAGCAGAAGGCCGTGCAGCCATCCAGAGGGATCCGGGCGGGCTGGAGAAACTGCTTGAGGGGAATCTCAAGGACTGCACAAGGGCAAGTGCAAAGTCCTGCCCTCGGGGAGGAACAACCCGGGGCACCAGGGCACGTGAGGAGTGACCAGCTGGAAAGCAGCCCTGCAGAAAAGCCCCTTGGCCGCCAACGCTCTGCAAAGCACGCTTGGAGGCGGCTTTGGCAAGGGACATGAAGACTAACAAAGGCTTCCTTCCGCAAGTGCATTGGCCAGAAAAGGGAAAGGCAACGTACGGCCCCAACCAACCAATAAATAAGACAGGAAGAGCTAATGACTAACAACTGACGTGGAGGAGGCTGAAGTTAATGTTAAAATTCATAGCCCTAAGGAGGATTACACACTCCAAGAAGAATATACAACGATGATGTTCATGACCCTCCTCCAAAGACATGTTAAAAGTCACCCCAAAAGGGAACAGATTAGGCTAGGATGTGAGGGAAAGTCCTGGAGGGTGCAGAGGAATAGCAGGAAGAGAGATGAAGTAACTGAAAGGTGCTTACAGTGAGAGCGGGGTAGGTCTCTTCTCACTGCTGACAGGTGACAAGACGAGGAGAAATGGCCTCAAGTTGCGCCAAGGTAAGTTTAGGTTGGATGTTAGGAAACACTTCTTTACAGAAAGGGTGGCTAAACATTGGAATGGGCTCCCCAGGGAGGTGGTTGAGTCACCGTCCCTGGATGTGTTTAGGAGCCGTTTCGATGTGGTGCTCGGAGATACGATTTAGCAGAGGGTTACTAGAGTTAGGGTACTGTGGTTAGGCTGCGGTTGGACTTGATGATCCTTGAGGTCCCTTCCAACCTGAGTATTTCTAGGATTCTAGGATAAAGACTCACAAGACGATTTGCCCTGAATTCTTCTCATGCAATCATGTACAGCCTAATGCAGATTGTCTGCTATGCTTGGAAATGATGCATGTGAGTGTCAGAACTAATATACTTCTGCCTGGGT